TTCCTAATTACATATTTTAATGGTATCTAACTAGCAGTATGTACAGTCTTTTGTGTATGACCAGCAGTAACTATTTCTTTTAAATGAGCATTTCTTCCCCTTCTCTAGTTCTATAATACAGTAAAATGTGTTGTATGAGAAGATATGTATATCTCATGCACATGCCTTTTAAAAATGGTACATTTCCTTGCTATAGACAGATCTTAAAACTTAAATTCTGGTCAGTAAGTGGACTTACATTTATAAACCCTGAAGCTTATTGGTGCCTGCAGTGGATAATGGCCATTTTACATCAAGGAGAATTAATTTTTTTGACTGCTAAATGTATTTATTTGAAAATTGCTTGCTACCTTTTGTTGCCCTTCTTTCTTTTAGCAAAATAAATCTCTTTATCTAAGGACTAGAATAACTATTTAGAAATGGACTTTTTTTCAAATCGCTGTTTACCAAGGGGGCTGTGGGATTCAGTAAAGGATAATTAACAGCTTTCACAATGTCATTCATAAGGAGCAACATCCATATCAAGTTAGAAAAGATGAAGGAAAATGTATCAACTGCTTAAAAATCATCAGCATTTTTAATCTGATAACAAGATCCTGGATAGTTAAAAACCAGAGAGGAAGGATTAATACTGGTGGAACAGTTCAAACAAAGGTAAGAAGTTTTGGAAGTGAAAAGTCATCCCAATCTCTAAGCAGAAAAAAACCCATCAACTTGATTTAAAATGCAAAACTAAAGACAAGCCTTTAAAATGTATTGATGTAGTAAAACTCTATGGGTGCTTTGACTCATTTGTGTATTTAATGGTGTCTGGGGTTCTTTGTGCCAAAAAAAGGGAAATGCACAGTAGTTTGAGTTTTGGAAGTAATAGAAAATTGAAGTCATATTTAGCTGAATATAGAATAATAGACTCTACAAATGTCAATTAATAGTATCAAGTCAGTTTTTATATTGTGGTTTATTCTGGTTTTTGGACACTTACTCTCCACTAAGCAATCATATGTTTTTACCTCAGCTTTTACATCTATTTCCATGTTGATTAATTCATATAGTCATCTAAATAACTTGTAAAATAAATAATTTTTGTTTAAACTTGCTGATAAATAGTGGGGGCAAAAAACCCAAGACAATTTCTAAAAAGCCAATTCTGTTAATACATAGTTTTCATCACATATTTCCATTTGGTTTTAATTACTAAGTACACTTTCCTGAAAATTATGAACCCTTACGGGTTAAAGGTTCCTCTGCTCCTGCTGCTTATTCCTTACACACAGACATCCTTCCCTGTTTCTGGCAACCAGACTATCTTTAAAGCAGCACATGGTAATACTGCAAAATCTGAATGCTGGATTCGGTGAGAAACAAGAAGCTTTTGAACAACAAAATCCTGGATCAAATCGTGAGGTAACTGATTTAGTTCTGACTTGGGCCAGACATTCAGGTTTCCACTATCTGAGCATCTTATCTGTGTATATCTTCACACAAAGGTCTGCAAAAACCATCAAGAGGTAAAAACTGAAATTACATAGTGGCACAGTCTCTGTAAATAATAAAATTTCAAGCTTGCCATACAGCATTCCTTTGGCTTTTGTGGTTGGCTTTGTACATATATTATAAATATAATGAGCATACGAGATGGGTTTCAATGAGAGCAGTAGCCGTGTTGCATGAATTAACAGTAGTTTTATCAGGACTGGATGAAGTCTTCATCTAAAGAGGAATGCTGCTGAGCTGCATAGTTGTGACCGTGTCATATGTGAGGGAAAAGTGTGTTTTACTCAACAGTGCTAGTAAGGCTGGAAGGGAGAATTAAAGCATCTTCATTCATCTGTAAGATCTATAAATTATATTTTCCATTTAACTTTATTCATGTCTTCTGTTTCAGACTTTAAGATGGTGTTAATACAGAACAAGCTTTCTCCCAAAATAAAAAAAAAATAAAAAAGGCAGGAAAATATATTCTACTCTCTTTTGAATATAATTCTTCCTTAGGAACTGTGCTAATGTAGCATAATTTTCAGGACGAAATGCTAGGCAGTGTTAGGCAGCCAGCTTCCCAACTTGCTTCCACTGCTGTGGCACAGATCTCATCCCCATCTTTCAAGCTGTTTTTGGGACAATCCTGTGACCTGGATTGGGGTGTTGTCTACGTTAAGATAAAGCAGAATAGATGATTTTAAATTGTCACCTCACCAAATACCACCCTGCCAGAAAGTGACCATGCTTCAATGGGAATCTCACGTAGCAAAACCGAACCATTAAAGGACAATTCAGGGGAGACCAGCCCCGTGGAGCTGTTTTATTCTTTATCAGCATCCAGTTAATTTGTATCAAAAGCTGGTTAGATAGCTGGGAGACTCCGGAAGCCTGTATGCTAATTGCTTTTAAAAATAAATGCATCAGAGTCACTGGGGCATTTCTGTTGTGGTTTTAGATTATTCATATAAATTATGAGGTTATCAAATGCGAATGTGAAATTGTCGGGCATATGCTCAAATATCGTCTTGCTAAGCTGTGCAATTACTCAGAGTGTCATCTCAGTCTTCAAGCAACCAGAAACTTCTGCTTCTACATAAAACATCATCAAGGTATTACAAAGCCTTTGGCAATAGAACACAATTAAAATACCTCAAGCAGTGAAACCCATTAATATGAAACAGGCGAAGTTCAAGAGAAACAGTTCGGGCGTGCCTCCTTGGCAGTGACAGGAGCACAGAGCCCTTGCAGATTAAATCCCCCTGCTGAGAAGCCAGGGTCTCTGCATTGTAATGCCTCCACTGCAGTGCCAGAGCTGCTACACTGAAAGATAATTTGAACACCTCTGTACCACGCCTTGGTGCCTACAGGCAGAGGTGGTCTCTCTTTTGTGAGTTCCAATCATACCAAGGCTGGAATAGTCCAGCATAAGACAGATGTTTATGTTACCAGCTTCATCTGCAGCTGGGTTAGACTGTCCTGTTCTCCTCCTGACTCCCTCTGGTCCTGTGGCCAAGTTGTTACAGCCCATCCATAAGAGCACAACCACTTCAAGCAGCCTGGATGCAAGCTGCCTCTGCTTGGGAGCTCAATGAAGTTATGGGGCCAGACCTGCTCCAATGTGTTCTGCAGGACCAGTAAAACCAAGGAAACATCCCCTCAGCCCACAATTAATCATATCCTTTGAGACCAAGAATTCTCTGTCAACACGCTGAGTTACGAAAACAAATTATACAGGAGGCTTCTTAGCACTTATGCAGAGCTTTTATAGCAAACCTATAATGTTCTCATCTTTTCAGCATGAGAGAATGAGATTCACTGCACCATAGTCAATCAGCTTTCCTTGCAGACAGTTTGCTAAGTTATCTTCATAGATGTTTTTTGAAAATAATAGTTAAAATAGTTTAGAATAGTCACATAGAAAAATTATATGCTGGAAACTTTCACTTCACTGTTACTGCATTTACACAATGTAGAGTTTACATTATGCACATAAAGAAAACATCTGTATTCTCTAATTATAGAAGCTTTATTAAACACCAGATTTGAACCATGACTCTCTCTATCCATACAGTCCCAGTATACACAACTGAGAGACATTTCCCTGTGCTACCTTTCTGATGTCCCACGTGGGACTTGACCCCCAATAAGTACCTCTGTGCAGATAAAGGTGGGATCTGGATACAGTTACTTTTCAAAATCTACTGAAGTTGCCAGCTGTGAGGATTTCTGGATGGCAACATCCCATCATTGGAAACAGAAAAATTTAATTCATGTAAGCATGTAAAGAGCTCTCAGATGAAAATCACTCTCAGTCATTGCTTGCATGGCCTGTCCTTGAAAGGATCATCAATTTTCACTGTTTTTATACATCATTACTGAGTTACTCATCTCTCAATTAATGTACTGCAACCTTAAAAGGGTAGACCATATCTTTTATCCCACTGTCATCCCACCTGATGCCACTCTACTTTTCAAGAGGGCAGCATCTCTTCCCACCACAGCAGTCATGAAAAGGTAGAGCTATCAGTGGTGCAGTCCAGATATACACCCTACAGTTTTTGCCAGGCAAGAAGTGCTACATATCTTTTTCTAGGGAAGTTTTGTCTTCTAACTTAGCATTAACCTTTCATTTTTTTCTGCCAGGGGAGCCTGTCTGCTGTGGGGAATTAAGTTATTTTTGAAAATGATCAATCTAGCAATAATAATTATATCCATAAAGCTAGCCTCTGTCATTAAATGAAAAATGTGTTTTTACGTATAAAGGTGTGATTATCTGTGCCAGGTACTTTAATGAAATCTACATATAATGTGTGCTATGCTTCCATTTCAGAAGGTTTTTTTTTAATATTCTCAAGTACTTAGCGTCTCTGGCATGATTTATTAGCTGGTTAAAATTCATAAATGTCATTTCCTTTAAGTGGCTACAAACTTTCTCATTAATACCTGTACAACCATCACCATAGACATTTCACACCAGATGACACTTGCCAAAATCATCTTGCCCCCTGTACCATCACCTGGCATGCTGCAGGCTCCAGACTTGCACCATGGTGAATGCTCTGGGAGTTGCCTCCTTCCATCCTGATTATTGTGCCCTGACTGAAGGCTCATATCACCAGTCATGCCCTGCAAACTGCTTTGTTGTGGTCACTGTACAGGTTTTGGCTCTCTTAAATTCATCAAGTAATTCCTACCCATCCATTCCTACATAAAAGCATTTCATTTGCAAAGTGTGAAGACTGACTTGCTAAATAAGCAGTATAATAAATGAATGCTTGAAATAATATGGTAATTATTTGAATGGCTCAAAACTCCTCTCATGATTTGTATGCAATCTATGTGGGAAATGGCATTTACAGCTTCACTGAAGAAGGTTTCTGTTTGCTTGAAGGCTCTCACTGTTTGTCCCAAAATAAACTCGGGGAAAGAAATTAATCTTCCAGCAGGTTTCTAGAAATCTGCATTTGCTATGCTCCTGTGTCTTCTTTATACCACTTCTTTATAGAGCCCTTGTCTTGCAGGTTTTGCTCTCAAACCTGGATACCAGACTGCCTGCAGCAATGGAATTCCCTGCTTCCTAACCTGAGCAGGGGCAGAGGTAAGGAGGAGGGGAAAAATGCTTCTGGCTAATCTCTGTGAATTATAAACTTTTTTTGTAACATTCTGGGTTTGGATTGACTGAAATTTGTTGCTTTGGTCGGATTTTGTTTTGACTGTATAAAAACCAATTATTATAATGCTTAGATTTGTGAAAGTGAATAGGAAACTGCCCCACATCGTTTAAAGTGTGTAATTTTAATTTTATGCTTGGATGATCTCAGTTTGGTAAGAACACTGATGCTTAGCAAGTACAGCAGCGAGTAGAGGATAAAGGCCAGGGTGTGAATGCTTTGTCATTGTGTCCTGGATCCTAGAGGGAGGATGACCCCAAGCCCTGAACTGCATTTAGGAACTGTTTGGAAATGTGTGATGGCCAAACAGATGCCCATGGCAGGGCAGCATTAAACACCTTAGCTCTGCAGAGCATTAAATACACAAGTATTTACAGCTCCTGTGCCCTAGGAGGCCTCAGGCTGGAGGAATGTTTGGCCAAAGTAGCCCCTTGCCAGCTTCTTTTCAGGCGCTGCTCCCACAGGCAGAGAGAAGTGAGCTGTGCATGTTCAGCAAATTTTGCTTTACACACAAGCCAGGCATGCTCCAGCAGACTCATGGAATCATTCCATGCACTGAGAAAGTCCATGGTAAATCGGGACTTGCTGTGTGTGCATGGCAGGCATGGACATACCTCATGAAAGAAGGCACTTAGGGCCCTAAGTGGCCATGTGTTTGCAAAAACCAGTCCACAGAGGGCTGCATGTGAGAGGTATTGGTTACTTTATACTCCTCCCCACATAAAAAGGCAGCTGTGTTGCACTCCCAAAAGACAGCTGAGTTCTTATGCATTGGAAAAATCAGCTGTGAAATGACTGAGAATGAATAAATGAGAAAAATTTGATTGTGTTTCCCAAAGGCAAAAATAGTGGTGTGCTTATACAGTGTGTTTATAGACTGACTGGATCCAGCATTTTGCAGTACTTTTTGCTGTTATATGGAACCAGCAGCAGAGTTGGAAGGGAACATGTACTCATGTTGTTGAAGGGAACATTTAATTCCTTTAAAGAAATGGGTTTTTATAATTAGGTTATTACTGACTAGGTTATGATCAGCTGTATGAAAACACAGCCTGTGATGTCAGGGAAGGTAGAAAATTGTGCTCTCTTCCCCACAAAGGACAGCTCCTGTCACTGTCATCAGGTACGTAAGGCACACACACACCACAGGGAGGCAAGATTCCTGAACTAATCTTGAATCTGCTGTTGATGTTCTGCTTGACTTTTTAGAAGACCCCTTACATCTCCTGGATTCTGCAAAACAGAGAGTAATAATGTGATAGACTTTGATCTTGCGGATGTAGGTGCTTTTTGTTCCACCAAATCCTTTAATATCTTTGTTTTATGCAGTAAATAGACTACCTAACTTCTTTAACCACAGCCAGCTGACTGGTTATATTCCTCCCAGTGTTAGTCAGTAGCCTGACTTATGACTTATTACTCTTCTGACTGATCTACTCTTATGTGCCACTTTACCTGAATTCCTCTTCTGAAATTGCCATTAGTGCTTAGGTAATAAAAGCATAGCATCCTGTACATACTTCAGTACTTCACATCACTCAAGAATCTACCTGTCAGGATTGTCATTCTTCTCAGTGGCTTTTCTACAGATAAAATTAGCAACATGATAGAGGCTTTTATAAACAATTAGCTTATTGTAGAATACATTTCATATACCAAGAAATGTGATGTGTGCCATTTTGGAATGGTTCTGTGGTTTCATAACATCCTGTCAGCATGTAGGCACTGCAGTGAGAAGCACACGATTGTGACTTTGACTCTGTGCTGTAATAGCTCTGTTGTTTCAAAGGGACAGAAGTGAAATCAGAGTCAGGTTCAGTACAGTTGTTTTGCTCTGACTCTGTGCTGGAATAGCTCTGTTGTTTCAAAGGGACAGAAGTGAAATCAGAGTCAGGTTCAGTACAGTTGCAGAGAGGCAAAGCAGAAACTGTGAGAGACTGGGCAATTAATGGTTTTTGGCTCAAAATATTCTGCATTTCATTGGGAGTTATAACAATTCTTAAATCTGCAGGTAAATTTTAATTCATCTTCCTTATCCATAAATGTGTTTGTAGGCCTAAAGTTTTTTGTCTGGCAGAGTTGTTTGGTTCCAAGTGTCTTCTTCCCCAGTACCAGGAAAGTAACAAGTGGCACAGTACCAAACTCCACTCTGCTCTTTCATGATGTTACTGCTGCTCACGTAGCTTTTCCCAAATTAGCTTTTGACTAATTGCTGGGTCCCTCTAAGAAAATAGCTGCTACTGCACAGAACCTAGTGCAGCTGCCAGGGAGGTTTGGTTCCTCCCCAGCTGAGATCCATGCCACTGTAGCTACACAGCTCTTACCACCAGACCTACTTAGATCAGTTTGGGCAGAGTTACTTAAGCCGCAGTCAAGCCTTTTTGTTTAGGGTAGATGAAGTCTCAGGTCCAAGTGCCTATCATTGCTGTGAAAACCACAATGTTATCCATGTACTCATAAATTTCTATGCAATTATTTGCATAATTCCCTGTCTGTAGTATGACTAGTGTTAAGTCCTGGTTAATGAGATGATTATACATTGGCAGCTGTTCACAGGTATTAACGTTTTTTTAGAAATATAAAATCTTGCTTCCTTAAACATAGTTTTTAATTTTGTAAAGAATAGTGATGTTTTATATAGTAAGTTTTTATGTGCTGTTCCTCCTTTCTCTTGGCTAATCCATTGTATTATCCACTGTGGGTTCCCACTCTACACTTCACGGAGTCTTGTAGACCTCATCAGAAGGAAAAACTAACAATGCCATGAAGGTTTTGAACATGAAGTGACATGTCTGCTCACATCCTGAGATTCATTCCCTTCCTGCTGTCCCTGAGTCAAAACTTTTGTGTTTAGGGATATCAAGGGAACATTCCTGCCTGTTCCTCTTATTGCCCATTTATGGACCTGTTGTCCATGATTATGTGCAGCTGCTTTTTGAGCCTATTGATATTCTTTGTTATCACAAACTCCAATGGTGAGGCTGGAATGGAAAAAATCAGCTTAAACATCATAGTTACACAGATATAAGCAAGCTTTTTGAATGCTTTATAAAAGAGAATTTCTACCGTAAATATATGTCAATAGTTTGACTTTTTGTGTAGCAGATATCTGCAAAAACTGGGGAAAATAAGAAAAGTAGAGTGATACTTCTGGGTCATAAGACACTGAAAGACAAGAAAGGCAGAGGTGGGCCAGATAAAGGTATGGCCAGTTCATCCACTCACCTCTTTCCAATGCTCGCCTTGCTGCTTAAGGTAGATGATAAACAGAGGGAACACCTATAATGCTACTACTTTTCCAGTACTTTTCCAAAGGTTTCAGTGATTTGGAATTCAAAGATCCCAAAGTCTTGGGTTTAATAGAAACTTGTGGTGATTTTCCTTTGCAAAGTTATCTAGCTGCTTTTTGAATCCCTACAGTCTCAGCTTCCAAAACACTTTGTGACAGCCTGTTCCCTTCACAGGAATTCTGAAGCTCTGATATGCTCTGATATGTGCTGTGAGCACCTTGTGTGCATGTGGAGAGCTGCACAGATAAATGCACAGCTATTCTGAGTAACAAATTCAAAGTGTGTTTATGAGCTGTGAACAGAAAAGAGGGCTTGATCTGATTTGATTTATTCCCTTGAATTTTTTAGTAGGGCTATTGGCATGATATGCATGGACCTGCTGCCTGGTCTCTGACTATAATAATGAAACACAAACAAAAGAATGAATGGTGTATGTAACCAGGCAAGTTATATGAGTTATGGGCTTACATAGTTACACATATATGTGGAATTAAAGATCATTTTTGTAGTCAGAGCAGCTTGTTTGGGTGGATCTGAAGCTATAGCAGTGCATTAAACTTTTGAGAAAAACAGTCGTGGTTCTGCTGGGCTCCTGAAAATGTGATGTTTTAAACAAGACCTGCTTCCTGCTGCAGTCCATGGTGTGGCTTATCTAACAAAGCCAGGCCTGAGCCTCCAGTCCCAGCACTGAGCTGGAGCCTGTTGGAAAAGATGGGCTGTTGGAGGAGAGGGGAAGGTTTGTAAACAGCTGAAGTGGGGCCTTCTGAGTTTAATGTGTTCCATAACCAGTTCAAACAGGGCAGCAACTGAAAACCCCAGATGTCAGAGTTACACAACAGCTCCTTCAGGAAAGCAGCTTCAAGTTTTCAGTGGGCTTTATAATAAAGAGCATGCATGAAATGTTCACCCACAGAGAGTGAAGTGTTTGCTTTGCTAGCAGTACACACCCACCATCGACTCTCAGCTCATCCTTTCACAGGGGGAGAGAGGGATCTTCATCCCTAATGCATGTTTTTACATTACCCTTATGTTACTGTGCGTGGGTTGTGTATAGCAGACTTAATGCAGCAATCTGTAGACCTGCATCAATTTTGTGCCTTTTTTTGTTCTTAAAGAAACGCTGCATTGAATGAAAGTTTGAGGCTTTTTTTTTTTACACCTGTGCTAAGGTTGAGTACTTTGAATGAAAGAGGGCTTATTTTGAAACTTATAGAAGTTTGGTATTTTCTATTCATACCTGTATCTTCATATCCCAGCAGTATTCAATTATATCAAGTCTATTTTAGCCACCTACCATAGGATGTGAGTATCTACATCCTACAAGCAACCATTTCTCCCCTTCTCTGAAGGGAGTCAAGACTGCAGTCACTTGTATTGAAGCTCTTTAAAGAACCTCACATCAGCTGTCCTGGTTTTAAACATTTGACATTCTAAAATTTTCCTATGGATCTCTGCAAATTTAGTGTTTCTAATGGTCAGGACTCTTCCACATGGCACTGGTTTTTGGCAGGGTATTCTTTTTTACCATTTTATGGGGGTATAACAGCACTGTTACTCAATTTGCTGTCTTGCAATGACTGAATTTAAAACCTTCAGTCTTTTTAAGCAGA